ATCAGCTATAAAGGAATGGTGCCTCCCTCAACCGCCGTTGAGTTTTTTTTTTTTATTTTAATTTTAATCTATTTATGTTAATAAGTTAGCTGTACTGTGCAACCCATTGGGGGGTATGCGACAGCAGGACACCACCAACGCTCTGCCCGAGGGTATACTCAGACAAGGACTCTTTTCTTCTTTTTCCAAATTTCCGCCCCCCTTTTTTTTTAATTATTTTAATACAGCTGTCTTCTCCTCATATTGCGGTTTGTTGTATTTTTTTCCCCTACCCTATTTTCTTCTGTCTTGCCTCACACGAGCTACCCATATCTATGCCCTACCCACAAACCCTACAAGGCAGATAATGGATCACATCTATTCAGGAGCACCAGCACCCAATCCTCCATATGTCCTACAAATCTACTAACTATTCATCAAACTATCCTTATAGAAGCTTATGGGTCTACTCCTACCTACTTATTCCTTAAGCTATCCGAAGACAAGGACATATCTATGCCCTACCTCATAACTATTCCTTAAACCACCAGTACGCCCGCACCTAAAATCCCGAAGCTGCCTGCCCACTGCGCGCCACTATTTTCCGAGCCTTCTGCGTGAGGGTACCTGCAGTGGGAATTTTGGAAGTGGCACTGGTGCCGCCGGTCTGCCTGAACCGAAAAAGAAAAGAAAAGAAAAGAAAGGAACAAACATGCCAGAGAGCAATGATGTCGTGAAAGGACGTCATGGAGGCCATAGGCAAATGATCACTTTCCAGAATGCATCTGACCACTATTACAGGGAGAGGGAAACATTGCTGTTTTTTTATTTTTTTCTCCTTTTTTTTATTTTTTTCCCTTTCCAGAATGCATCTGACCAGCAAGGCAGCGCATATTCCTCTTGCTCAAAACGCCCTCACTGAGGGCATACTCACACTAGCGCCGTTGAAATGCATCCAACCACTTTCACGCCCAAAGCTTTGTTGGATTTTTTTTTTTTTGTTTTGTTCTTTTTTTGTGAGTCCGACAGTCCTGCTCCCCGTGTTCTATGTTCTGCCGAAGTGCCCTCACCGAGGGCAAACTCGCAAGGGTACTCCCAAAAGTGTATCCAATTGTTATCACGGCCAAAGCTTGTTTTGTTTTTTGGGATGTACGGATTTCAGATGGGCCCAGAAATTCGAAAACCTTCGGACGCTCCGACCCTGCCCCGATCCCTCCTTTTACGTCTTGTGGCGTCAAGTTATTTTGCTGCAAGGCTGACGCCGTGTACTGGTGCTTTAAGCTATCGTAAAAAGCTTATGGGTCTATCGTAAAAAAGTTATGTGTCTACTCCCACCTAACTCTCCTCTGTGCACAGGGGAAGAAGCCAGCCAAGCTCCTACCGCCTGGCCCGTGCTGGAAAGTGACCACCGAGACTTTCCCATAACCAGCCAGGAGGGAAAAGACGACGCTCTCAGTCGGTGAAGCCGAAGTTTGCCACACAGGGGGTCGTGGAGAATCGAACCCACAACTTCCTGTGTACCACTTACGTGCTCAACCAACTGAGCTAGGCCGCTTGGACTGAACAAGGGCTGATTTACATGTTTCTGGACGGCATTTTGGTCAGATACATCCAAGTAGAGCCAGATTTAGGGTCAGATACATTTCATGATTTTAGATTGTGGTAGCATGAGCATGCTCTGAATCAATGGGTGGATACTGCCAAAGCTATTTGAATCAATCGGTTGCCTTTTCTTTTTTTTGAAAATTTTCGTTTTTTTTTTTTTTTTTGGTTAGTGAAGAAAAAGTGCAGCGCATAGAAAGGAATGGTGTCATGGACTCGTCATTTCATAAAAGGCAAAGCTTCCGAAAAAGTCCGAAAAAAAAATCATAAATGAAAAACACTTTTTTTTTTGAGTGTCGGGGCTTAGTAAAAAAAAAAACACAGAAGGAAGTGTGTTCAAACCTACTACCGTCTTCACCCTACGTACCGTCATTATAGCAGCTGTATTTGGGGCAACGTTGAGTCTAGATACAGCAATAATGACCGTACGACGTACGTTCTATTTGGGTGAAGAAGGTAGTACAAAAGAAAAAGAAAAAGGGACCTGATTGAGCTATCTGGGAAAAAAAAAAAAAAAAAAAAACCTGTCTGCCTTGTCACAAGCAGGGTAGATAGTTCAATTCATTTTTGCGTGTGAACGGAGTGTTGGGGCATAATTATTATTTTAGGCGATAGGGTGTTTTTTTAACCTGAATCTGAACGTGTTTGTAGGCCATAGGGTGCATATATTTTGCATCAGATTCTACGCATCTGGGTGGAAAAGGGGTTGTTCAGGTGACAGTCTGCGACACACAGAAAGTCCGACGAAGCAGTCCGGCACAGTCATTCTACGACACACAGAAAGTCCGACGAAACAGTCTGGCACAGTCATGCTTTGTTTTTGTTTTTTTGTTTTTTTTTTAATGTTGTGTATAGCGAACATGACAACACGGCAAATGTGGCCAACCTGGCATCTTCTACTATATTGCCTATCTATACCTTTTTTAAGTTTTTTTTTTTGTTTCATGGATGGTTTGTGATGATTTGTGGATGGAATGCGTGTGCGTGTGTGTGTGTGTGTGTGTGTGTGTGTGTGAGAGAGAGAGAGAG